CACACATACACACTGTACACACACATATATATATATATATATATATATATATATATATATATATATATATATATCCTTTTAAAATAAAGTTAAATGGAGTAACAATTCCTAAACTGTAGACCGAAAGGGCGATCATGTTGCAGCGTTCTGTTTTTAATGAGTAGACTGTCCCGTTTAGTGGATACATTGTAAATAAGTCGTTTGCTTTTATTGGGATAGAAACTGCTGTAGCTGAAAAGTACGGGGTTCAAGAAAAACAACGAGCGCGACATGGGACCTGGACCGCGAGCCGAGGCTCCTCACTGCGCGCGCCCCGCTTTATTCGATCCATGTGCGAACTCAGCCCCCAGGCCGGATTAGTAAAATGAGAAAGGGCTCACATTTACGCCTATTCCCTGCTGAAAGGGGGGAGCCAGCACTGCTTCTGACCCCCCGACACCTAGACACGCGTTGAATATGTATGCCCTTGACCCAGTCTAATTGTTTCACCATCCCCGAGATGTACAGGAAATGTTAATCTTTTCACCTAAAACTCGAGAAATAACAGTCAGGACAGAGCCGAGCAAACCTGAATATTTAGCCGGGAGCTGTGAATTACTACGTATAGCGTCTCTTTGCCGCCAGGGGGCATGAGTTCGCGTGTTCTCTTACTGCAACCTGTCTGTTTACGAGAAGTATTGTGTTCTGATAGTCGCACAGACAGGCTGCAGATATAAAGACATATATACACGAATTGGCCACATGCACCAGGTTGGCTCCCCTTTACACTTTTCATTAAGGTTCCCCTTAATTTTAAACAAGGTGCTTGAAACATTCCTCGGACACTTCGGCCCATGTTGACATGAGAGCATCACACGCTTGCTGCAGATTTGTTGGCCCCACCTTCATGATGCGGATGTCCTGTTCCACCACATCTCATAGGTGCTCTATTGGATTGAGATCTGGTGACTGTGAAGTCCATTTGAGTACAGTGAACTCATTGCCATGTTGAGGAGACCAGTCTGAGATGATACGAGCTTTGTGACGTGGAGTGTTATCCTGCTGGAAGTAGCCATTAGAAGCTGGGTACACTGTGGTCATTAAGGGATTGACGTAGTCAGCAACAATACTCAAGTAGGCTGTGGCAATTTAATAATGCTTAATCGGGGTTCAAAGTGTAACAAGAAAATACCCCCCACACCATTACACCAGCAGCAGCCTGAACTGTCGATACAATGCAGGATGGATCCATGCTTTCATGTTGTTTACGTCAAATTCTGACCCAACCACCTGTACATCAAGACTCATTTGACCAGGCAACGTTGTTCCAGCCTTCAATTGTCTGATTCTGTTGAGCCTGTGCCCACTGTAGCCTCAGTTTTCTGTCCTTAGCTGACAGGAGCGGCACCAGGTGTGGTCTCCTGCTGCTGTAGTCCATCTGCTTCAAGGTGGGAAGTATTGTACTTTCAGAGATGCTCTTCTGCATACCTTGGTTGTATCGAGTGGTTATTTGAGTTACTGTTGCCTTTTTATCAGCTTGAACCAGTCTGGTCATTCTTCTCTGACCTCTGCCAACATCAAGGCATTTTCTCCCAGAGAACCACCTCTTACTGGATGTTTTTCTTTTTTCAGCCCATTCTCTGTAAACCTTAGTGATGGTTGTTTCTGAAAATCCCAGGAGATCAGCAGTTTCTGAATCACTCATACCAACCCATCTGGCTTGTTCAAAGTCACTTAAACCACCTTTCATGCTCATTCTGGTGTTTGAAGTGAACATTAACTGAAGCTGCTTACCTCCATCTGCATGATTTTATACATTGTGCCATAGACAAACGATTGGCTGATTAGGTATTTGCTTCAATGAGCAGTTGAACAGTTGTACCCAAAGTAGTGACCAGTGAGTGTATTATCTGCGAAAATCCAATAGGGTAAAAGTCCTTTATATTATATTGTGAAAAAGTCAAGAATTATTTTCCTTGCAGCAGTAGCTATGCAACGGGAGAGACTGGTTTTGAACAGGAGAAACTACCTCGTTGGACGACTTTGAATTTCCACAGGTCTTATGGCACAATATTTGTGCACTAGATGGCAGAATTTCCTTATGTTAAAGGGGCCCTGTTATGGTTTTCTGATTTCTCCCTTTTTTAGTGTGTTTGATAGCTTTATGTGCATGTAAACGGTCTACAAAGTACACAAGAAAGGGAGTAACACTCACCACTTTTCTCTAATCTGCCTGAAATGCCTCATTGGTATTCCAGCCTTACTTCCGTGACATGGCGAGATCATCTCGTAACACAATCCTTATTGGCCGCCTACCTGAAAGCATCTGTCTGCAAGACGGGAATGGAATGTGTAGGACAAGCTGACCAATCAGAGCACACTGGGCTGATTGGGGGTGGAGATTAAAGCTGTACATGAGGGTTTTTGAAGATTGGGCATAATAGGGCCATTTTAAACCCAATTCAAGCTTCCCATAAGCAAGTCTGACCTCAGTCCTCTATGTATGTACACAGATCTGCACCTTCAGTAAAGTTACTACACAGCTACTCCTTACAAACAGCCTGACAATTGAAATTCCTATGTAAAAACAGATTTGCTGTTTTTATAATTACAGGATCAGGATGATTCCAGTTGTTTTATTTTTCTTGTTTGTCTTTGGGAATGGGAATCCAGGAATGTCATGCAATGTAACAACTTGGGGGAATGGATCAGTGCTGCACTTCTCCTTAGAGCCTCTTGAGGGCAGTGTTGCATTAGCAATGGGCAAATGTAGAGTTGTGGTCCATCTAGGCTGCAGTCCATCTCTGACAAACCTGGAGTGTGTAGTCCTAATGCATTGAATGATGATGAAATAGGCATAAAATCAAAATCAAGGTGTTAGCTGTGTATGTGACGAATAAAACTTTGACTTTTGATTTCTGACATGATGGGTAAATCTGTTGTAACTTTCTGATATGTTGTCACTGTTCTGGGGCAAATGATGCGTTTTCATGGCTGAGGTCATCACAGGACATTTAAACTTGTCTGAATGTTTTCATGGGTGAAAGACATTTTCCAGGCAGCTGATCTAACCTCCATCCTGAAGTATTTTTCTGCCGATTCAGCTTTTTGAACACTGGGTACCTTCTTAGCCCATTTGGCCTGTTCTGGGCAGGTCCAGAAGACTGGCAGGGACTGGGAATACTGGGCCTGCGCCCGGCTGTGGCCGCAGGGCCTGGAGACTGGATCTGGGGAGCACCCTGTTTTGCCGGCGCCGGCTCCATTAAGAGGGGGCTTCATTATGAACCAGGGCAGCCCACAATGCCAGCCTCTGTCAGGGGTTCTGGTTCGGGTTCTGGAGCAGCACAAAGGAAGTAAGGTCAAGAAGTGCCAGCTCACAGAATGTGGGCCGGAGTGGTAGCAGGACAAAGGGGGACAGACGGTGACCCCTGATGCCTCTGATCGCTGCCCCTACATCCCATCCCAGCATGCCTCAGTACCTTCAAAGACACTGCACTCAAAGGGCCTTTATGAAAGCGCAGAACACCTCTGTGCTGAACTGAAAGCGGTTCAGCCGCTGTTCCAGCTCAAAGGCTCGGCCTGTATGGAAATTCCTTCCATGTTGCCCATCAGAGAATTTCCAAGCTGCATCTTCAACGTTCTTTGCACACACACCCACGACGGTGCATTTAAGCATTCTCAGAGTGACACAGGAAGAACCCAAAAACATAAAAGAATCCAAAAAACAAAAGATGGGACAGCTGTTGACCTAACTTCCAAGGAAGCCTGATCAAAGGTTTCAAATTACAGGCAGAAATGAGAAAGGCTCCTTCCTTAATTCCTATTGGCGGAAGTCCATCTATACACAGCGCTCACAGAAAGGCTTGGTATACTAGCTTAATTCTGAAAAAATATATCAAAATTATTGGATTTATAACAAAGTCCATTGAATAGCAATATTTCAAAAATCTGCACATATCATCCATACAGACATTTTCTTTTTATTAGGTGTTTTGAGTGACTCATACAGTTCTGCTCTTGCCATTTTAGTATAAATTGCAGTTGTAGTCATTGACTCCCAAAGCGATACTAAACATTATGCAGGATGTTATTGCAGAGGTGTTACCAATTAAAAAGCCCCCAATAACATAGCTTGTCAATGAACTTTTTAACCCAAAACAGCTCTTTCTGAACTATAATTTCGGGTTTAATTTATTACTACTTAAAATGAATGTTTTGCTTAAAACTTCTGGTTATTTCTAATGCGATATGTATATATTTATATATATAAAACTAATGAATAATGTGATGATTTTTTTGCTATAAAATCAATAAATTTGCAATATTCTTTTAAGTCCACGCTGTAAATGGTTGGAGTCCCTGGTAGGTAAACATGCAATCTGGGGATGCTTGGATGAATCTGATGAAGTGACACTTTTCTCTAGGCTGGCTTATGTTTTTTCCTAACATTTGGTAACAGTTTAATGGCAAAAGCAGCTGTGCAGAGAGCACCCTGTACAGCACACTGCGTGGGCCTCACTGGACTCCGGCATCCAGTGCGCCATGCAGTGGCGTCACGTGGCCCTGACGACAGTGACGATGCCAGACCCAGCTTCCTGTGGCAGCCCGTGATCCCGTTTCCCATGAACAAAGCTTCTGTCGTTTCCATCGGGGGCTAATGAAAGCAGCTGGAGCGTTGCGAATGTGAGACGACACAGAGATTCTCTCTGACTAAGGCACGTTAGGAAGTCCAAGTGAGAAACTCAGCCTACCAGTATGCCCAGTTAGCTCTGCTGCATGCGGCTACAATTAGGAAATATCAAGCTTCCTCCCTTTTAATTAGTTGAAAACTAATGGCAGTTCCATCTGAAAAGGTCGCCAACAAGCGCCTCTAATCCAGGGAAACTCACAGATAAGAGGTGAATTCTGATTTTGTGTGCTTTTATCTCACTGGTGGCGTGTGTCCCATTAACATGGCTCTTTGAAGATAATAAACTTAGATATAAAAAGCATACTTAAGAAATGGACCTTGGAGATCTTACTTCTGGGATGTGCTTGTGTTCCTTTCATCTTCCAGCACCTTCCCTGGTCTCCTGTACTTTCCTCTGCAGATGTTTCCTCTGTGAGATGGTAGGACAGATTGAACTCTTACATGAGATAAAGTCTCTGCATTCTGTTTGAGGCATTCAGAGATTAAGCGGTGTGTTTTACACACACAGTTTCACCGTAATTGTTCTGAATACCTTCTGAATGCTCTTTAAGGCAAAGTCTCCTATTGCAAACACATGTTACATTTGCTCTCCATGCAAAACCAGGAATACAATTTACATTAACTTGTTTAACTTCTCAGAGCTGTTAACAAAAGTTCCTGTCCACAGCTATGGAAATCTAAATATTTCATGCATGTCCTTTGATACTCAGTTAATTTTGAATTAAAATAATTTCAATTCACTTATTTTATTCAACGTACATAAGAGCATTTTGCAAGTGATATAATTACCATTCGTATTGCACCTTGACACACATGGTCTTTTGGCCTATCATGCTTGGCCATCGATATGTTCCGACGCCCTTATTCTCCGTCTTCCTCCCCACATGTGTGGGCACCGTCTGAGCTGGAGAGCTGGTTGAGTCCCATGTGAGCGTGACATCATTGGCTTACAAACTGTGACATCATGGGTGTGACCTATGACATGCTGGCTTACAGACCTGCAGATATCCCCCCCATTGTTGGACTTTAATCTTGACCTCAGTTTACGAGCCCATTCTTTCGTTTTGCTATAGTTAGCTTGCTCAGGTGGGTTTGGGCAGGCAGCTGACCTTGGACCCAAGAGGTTTTCTTCTCTACTTGGGAATTTTAGGTTCCTTTCCTCCATTGTCTTCTTTCTTTCCTTGTTTCTGTTTCTTTCTTTCTTTTTCTTCCGTTCCGTTTCATGTGACGTATAAATGATGGAATAACGGATTGCCACATACCCTTATCAAGCCCCTTTGGGGTGAATAAAATACCTATATTGCTCTGTGTGTTATTTTTCACTGTATTTTTTTTTTATTGCATGGCTGTTTTACCTTTACCCTTAGTCGCCCTCGTTTGCCCTAATGTCCCACCATGCCCCCCTCCCCTCCCCTGCAACTGGGGCACAAGAATTTCACCGTGTTCCTTGGAACACGTGACAATAAAACTTGACACTTGAAAAAAAAATGATGGAGCTTTATTTAAGGACTTTTTTTTTAACTGTGAATATTTCTAAAGCCCGAGTCCTTCATGCTGCACCGCTGCACCTGCGGCCTTTGTGCTGCAGGTTACTCAGCTCTCTGCAGCACTCATGCATTTTTAAAGGATGCACTCAAAAGAAGCTCAGAAATGGCAGCAAGCACCAATTTTCTTCCCCTGCTTCACGGTCTCATTATGTTTTATGCAAACAGTCATTCTCTGCCCAGCACCGGGAACCAAATATAACTTATTTACTTTATTGACTCCTGGGGTTTCAGCTAATCAATCCTAAATATGATTTAATTAGGAAACTAATAATTAGCAAGATTTAATCAACTTCTGACTGATAGCTGGAATACGAGATGTGGTGGCTCTCTGTGGCTCTGCTATTCCCAGTCACCTCACAGCCCTTCAGGGTTTCACGCCCCCTGGTTTTCAGCCTCCAGGAAGGGGCTGCTCCACCCCGTCTTGCCCCGACAGGCAATGCCTTTCTCTGGAGGCCACGGCTGACATGGGGCGGGGGTCGACATCAGCGACTCTGTAGGTGCAGCCGAAAAGCCATACTTACGGACTGATACTGAACTTCATTAGAAGCTGGATGTTTACTAATGGCGTAGCTTGACCCCCAGGAAAATTTAAAAACTGTTAAAATGTGTACAGAGAGGACACTTCCTCCGCCACCTTGACCGAACAAACAATATTCTTTGCTGCTTTAGAAGCGGCCTTAGGGCTACAAGAATGATTCCTGGCCTTAGGGGGGTGTCTTACGAACAGAGGTTGGCTGAGCTGAATTCATTTAGCCTCCAGAAAAGGAGAGTAAAGGGGTGACAGGATCCAGATATATAAGGTTCTAACAGGTCTAGATGCTGTTCATCCAAAGTGTTGCTACAAAACAAGTTCTAATTCAAGAACACGTGGCCACAGTCGGAAATTAGTGGGGGGAACTTTAGTTTGGATATGAGAAAGATTTTCTTCTCAGAGCATGTAATTAGAGTATGGAATGGTCTAGCTAAGACCATAGATTCCTTCAAATCTGAACTGGACATGATCAGTCAAGTAAATGATTAGTTTAATTCCCTGCAAGCAAACCTGATGGGAAAATGACCTCTGGCTACTGACACGTTCTTATGTTCTTTGCCTCTGGTGGCAGCTTCAGTGGTCTTGTGGGATACCATAACACCCATCACTTCACCTACGGGCAATCTGGTAACTCCAGTACACCTTAGCGTGTTTTCAGACGGGGGGAGGGAAACCAGAGTACCCAGAGAAAACCCCCACGATTACACATGGAGAACATGCAAACTCCACAGACATGAACCCAGGCCAGGCACTCGAACCCAGGGCCCAGAGGTGTGAGGCCACCATTCCTACCGCTATGCCACCGCACCACCCAGCAAGTGGATGTTCAATACAGAAAACATTATGCTAATTGTGGCTGTGAGTCAATAAAGGCTTATGCTGGTTACAGTCAGTCATAACCGGCAGTTTGGGAGCATGTGTTTGCAGTTCTAATAATAATAATAGCGGCCGGGCCCCCGGCAGGAGAGAGGATATCGGGGTTTGTGTGGGCAATTCTGTTTTTCCTGCTGTACCAAAACTAGACCGAATTGTAAACCCAAAACTGAAGTTTGACCCAAGCTGCGAATTTCGTGTAAGTTACACTTCCACGAAGGAAGGTGTCAGAATGTTAATCAGTCTCAGCTTTGGGGATTTTGTGGCTGCCAGTTGGGACAGGAACACACCCCAGTATGGGGATATAATGCTTATTCCAGTTTAGATGTTTTACTACCAAAGAAATATACCAGACTATACTTGCACCATCAGTGAGATGTGAGAGGTTTCTCCAACCGTCTTAAGCTTGCTAAAAGTTGCACTTTACCTGTCTGTTTGTTAACAATAGGAAGATGTGTTTAAATATTGCTTTCTTCCTCCAGGACCAAATGTATCTGTCGGACAGATGCAGCTTGTCGACAGGGATGTCCGGTATGAGACTCCATGTGACTGATTTGGGGACGACATGCTGATCTTCTTGCAGGTGTGATGTTTCGTGAACCTCACCCAGTAACTATGTTTGCCCAAAGGCTGGACTGTTTGTTAAAAGGGTGCAGTGACTCTGTGGTACAGCATTCTTGAAATCTGGTAGCTTATTTATTCATCATGTAGTAAGGTCTATATTAACAGGACGTCCAAAGCACAAATCAATAATCACATGTGGGCCAAACCTTTCCAAACATGCCTCCTCTTAAACAGACATAGATTCTTATAAAAAGTATTATGATAGCAAATAAAGCAGTATATGCAAAGTTTCCACTTACAGATGATAAATATTTTCTCACACGGGTTTAAATATGGTCCATGCCTGCTTGGCAGATCAGGATCGAAAAGTAAATAATGAGAATTTCTGGAGTTAGAAGCATATTAATAAGTTAATTTAAATGAAATACAATAACTATTTGGAAAACTAAAATAATTAAAAAAAAAAAAAAACTGACGCGAAAACCAGTAGCCTACATTTCTTATTCGCGACGCGTTTAGTTTAATGTAAACCACTATGAAAAGTATACCAATATGAAAACAAGTAGTTTTGTATTGAAGACAACCTCCATACGAACCACCCAGCTTTTATCAATAATGCTCCCCCATCCGTGAGTCCCCATCAGGGCGGCCGCAGTGCGCGGTGTCGATGCGGCTCCCGGCGAATACGCCGCATTGCTCACCGCGTCTGTGTAGCCGCTGCACAGACGCCGCCTATTGCTTTGGGGGGTGCCGATGTGCGAGAGTGTGGCGACCCTAAATGTCACTTGGCATCCCCCCCTCCAGGAAGCGGGCTGGGCGGGAGCTGTCAGGTATACGATTTCCCTTCGTTAATGATTCATTTTTAGAAAGGCACGGGAGGGCCGTGGAGGCGGGCGGACAGCGGAGCTGCACGTCAGGACGCATAGCGGCGGACTGCGGATCGTGCCAAGCCAGCTTTAAGGATAGGAGTGGCTATTTAAACATTACACACCGGATCGCTGAAGGGGAGGGGAGGCCAGTATTCCCAGGCGGAGCGATCGGCCGCATTCATGGGCTTGTGAGAGGACGGAGCGACGCGGCAGGGCTGGATCCGCACACGGTAAGCGCCCCCACAACGCACGGCGATGCCTATTTTTACCCGTCTTGTGGTTTTTTCCCCCGTGTGCATTTCACTCAAGTCGTATCGCATAACACATAACAGTCGTCAACAAGAGAATACGAACCGCACGGCGAGAAGCACATTCATAATTTCACGTTATTTGCTCACCGATCCAGTTGTTTTGAGGACATGCATTTACTTACATGCATTAAGGCTTCAACATTAGGAAGCAGGTGCACTGAGCTTTGCTGCGCTAGAATAACCCATTGCAGTAGTGTTTATCGTCTTTTTTCTCAATTTGTTGTGCAATCACATGAATGTGATGAAACAGCTACTTTACTCTGTTATTTTTTAAATAGGGCATGACCATATTGACGGTGACTTTATATAAAGTAACCATATAGCGCACGTGTATGTACTGTATATATATATATATATAGTGTTACCGGAACCATTTCTCATATTTTTTCCGAGCAGTGAGGGGTGAGTTGGTGGTCTTCCACCCTTGGCATCATCCCCGCCCCCCCCAAGCAGGGAAGAGTCCAAACTAAGGCGCAGTTTAAAACTGCCGCTGTCGCTTCCTTGCGCAGACCGCTAATAGACCAGGGACGGTGCTAATGAATTATCCAATCAGGGCGGGCCTTGGAGCGGCCGGGCCCCCGGCAGGAGAGAGGATATCGGGGTTTGTGTGGGCAATTGACCGGCATACATTTTGACACCCCCAACAGCCATCCTCCTAAAACTTCATTGCAGTTTATAATCAGCCTGAGTTTGGACAGGATTTTCTAAGGATGGAGACAAGAAAATGGAGATAAAGACCTTAACGATGGGCATTCCTTCCATCCATGGCCTCATGACGTACTGATTAAATTTTGCCGACCAGGAGGGATCCCCCATGACTCTTGCCCCCCCCCAGTTGCATTGTCTGTTACAGGGTGACTCTTAAGGCCTGCTGTGTTTCACGCCCTAAATTAGAGCATGGAGGAGGTGTCTAGATTCTGGAGGCCACTTGATTTATGTGACTCCTTGGTAGACGGACCACGGAACTGCTTTCTCCTCAGAGCAATGGTCAGACGTTATTCGTAGTGAGGAAATTCTCCTCAGTTCCCCTTTACACCAGCCATTGCTTCATTTTCAGCGTGAGCTCTGCTGCCTGTGTTATGCCACAAGCAGCCGCGCAATGCTCTGATACGCCCAGCAGGAGTCACTCCACTGATGAGCAAACACTTTTCCATCTTCATCACATTGCTGGAACACGGCTGAGGGCTGGAATTCTTCTTCCTATTGCTCGTGGTTT